TTAATTCTTGTGCTTGGAGACTGGTTTGACGTTGTTCAGAAGTTTCTTGTTGTTTATATCCAGCTTGCCTTGATGATTTTGACTGAACTCTGGCTTTGTGCTGTTCAACAGTTTTTTGCTGTCTTTGAGTAGTCTGCCTTTCAGTTTGAGCTCGAAGTATAACTTTACGTTGTTCCAAAGTCTCTTCCTGTATTTGAGCAGCCTGTCTTGCAGCTTGTGCTTGAAGTCTTTGATTGCGTTCTTCTTCTGTTTCAGCTGCTCTTTGTGCTTGCATTATTTTAGCGGCAGAAGACTTTCCATAGAAAGGGCGTTTCTTGGGTGGCATAATCACCTGTATCACTAAACAATAATTTGCAATTCACAAAGTTACTAAATCACTTATGAAACCACTTTGCACTATTTGTACAAAACTGTTTCTGAAAATACTGAATTTACAGCAAAGTGATTTGAGTGTCTCCCGCCATAACGTTTTCTATGTGCAAAACGTGCTTATGTTTGTATGTTTATCACAAAAAAATGACAAAAAAACGAACTTAAGCTTTTTAAAGGAATACCAAATCTTCGTACAAAAGCTACCTTTAAGGGATAATGATAACATCGTTTACACTAGATTATGATGTTTTATAGCTTATGTAAAATGTAGAAGAAACAAACAAACAAATTCAATAATCCTACGAACTTTGCGGTACCTTATTTAACATTCTATAAAAGAAGAATTACAAATGGCCGTTTTGAGCGGATTTTCTTTTCCTTTTAAGTCTAACATGAGTGTTTTTTGTACATTTTTATATGTGTACAACTTTAGCATTCAATATTAAAGATTTTAAGGTGTTTTTTATTTGAACTGAATCTTGGTTCACAATAAATCAGCTTCTAATGAAGTAACCATTTCTTAGCCAAAATCTGAAAATTATGTGTCAAACAGATTCTAGGAATTATAAGTGATGTATTAATAGGTTTGAAAATGTAAAATCCATAAAAATAAGAGATAAATGCATTTGAGGACGTGTGTTATCAAGTAGATAGATTTTGTTTGATGTTAAGTTTAAACATAATTGTCACATATATAAAGTTTTTTTATAGATAATTATTTTCACTGCTCTGAGACTACTTGTCTTGAATGTCTTTTAAACATTGGTGAATATTTTGAAAAGTTTCTATATTCACTAGAATTAATGACATAAAAACTTTTAATATTAATTAATTAGTAAAATATTGGTTTAGTGCGAAATCTAGGATAAAAAAAAGCTTTTCTTTTTTTATTTTTAAAATTACCAGCAGTTTTTAGTCTAACACCACTTTCGCCATTTCAACCTAGAAAACTATGACACTTAGCCAGCTTTGGTATCATTAAATGTAAAGTTACAAACGAGATTATAATCTACCCTGAGGAATGAACCTCAGGGTCTGACATCGCCACACGTGTCACTATTGAAAAGCAATACAACGCAATGTCATTGTTACATAACAAACACACACGCACACAAACAGATCATTGCGCTTTCTGAGTGAACTGTTACTTCAAGTTTTTCACACAAAACGCACTACATCTGTTGAGTTTTTTTAAACCTCTAAGTTTTCTTTTAAGCACAGTTTAAATTAACTTACTAGGTTCTTGTGTGCTTAAAAACCCATTCAGGTATCACAATTTGTAAAATAATAATAATAATACAAGTACTATGAAAATTCGTTTCGATTATTTCTGGAGAACTTCCCTTGATTATAAAACATACAAGACGACTTAGTTTTTAACATTGACTGTCAAGCAGACACTACACTTAAACAGATTTGAGTTTATTGTTAGAGTTACTATTCCGCATGCTGTTAAGCGCATGCCACGAGATGAAAGCAGCATTGATCGGAAACATCCCTAAGGTAGTGTTTTATAAGTTATTTGATGACAAATAACTAAGATTTCACGATTAGTTTTTTACATTAGAAATATCTTCCACGCTATTGTGGAATTGCTTATTTTGACAATACCAATTTGAACGTGGCTATGACACTTCTTTTTTCGAAACAAACCCAAATTTAAAATTAAATATTTATAATATAAATCAGTTTCTAGATTTAATGAACATTTTTCTTTGAGTTTAACTCCACAGGTCATCATGAAAACATGCACGAGCTTCTGAATTTTTCACGTATATTGTTCAGTGCTACTCACGGCACCAATCGATCACCCATGTTTCAGAACGTGTACACCTGTCGCAGTGTACCTGATGGTGTTAGTAGGATATGCTGGGAAAAAGACATGATGTTTGTACAAGAATGAGTTTTAGGGCATTTAAAAAAAATACAACATAATCAATCTCTTTGTTGTACGAACGTCATCACCTTAGAAACCCTAAAGTTATAATAACATTTATGCATTAGTTTGCATACAATAATATGCTAAATAGAGAAGCAGAGACACAACTAACTTCACAGGTACCTCTTTAAAGAGAGATAGAATACACAGATAGCCAAATAGAGACAGATAATTAATAAATAGTAATATAACCGTAGGGAAATATAGTTATAAACGGAAAGTAGCTGGAAATATAAAATAATCAGTCGATAAACAATAGACAGTAAAAAAAAAATCCAAGATAGACAGATGTTTGCATACGTGAGAGATTTAAGTTTACGTTTGTTCTCTGTTCGAAATGGTATAAATATATCTAATTAGTAACCGAAAACGCAAGAAATGTTTCAAATAATATCTGAAATTCTTTGCCCCAATACATCCATCAATCTTATAAGAACTTCTTAAAAATGGTGACATTATCAAACATGTACTAAACATAAAAGTTAATTTTATAGAAAGAGTACCAGTTTTGGTTGAGACTCAAGTAAAAAATAAACCACGGTTAGTCATAAACACTAATATTTGATAATCATTTTATTAAACCTCAGAAAGATATTTGTTTGTTTGTTATGAATTTCGCGCAAAGCTACATGAGGGCTATCTACGCTAACTGTCCCTAATTTAGCAGTGTAAGACTAGAGGGAAGGCAGCTAGTCATCACCACCCACTGCCAACTCTTGGGCTACTCTTTTACCAACGAATAGTGCGATTGACCGTCACATTATAACGTTCCCACGGCTGAAAGGGCGAACATGTTTGGTGTGACGGGAATTCGAACCCGCGACCCTCAGATTGTGAGTCGAGCGCCCTATCCACCTGGTCATGCCGGGCCCCTCAGAAAGATATAGACAGTCATACATCGTCATATAAATCTCACTATGAACTACATGCCACTTCAGATGAATAATGTAACAACTTATTAAGAAAAACACTTTTTTTTTGTAAAACGACATCACACACAATATCTTTGTTGATAATCCCAAATCATGTTTCGATAACAGGAATGCACGTGATATTTCGTGTTTTATATTACATTCTACAAGAATCTGCTCATTTTGTTTTGCGCGAACCAAAAAATGTTGTTATACCAGCA